CAGACAGACAGACAGACAGACAGACAGACAGACAGACAGACAGACGAGAAAAGAGAGAGAGAGAGAGAAAGAGAGAGAGACAGAAAGAAAGAGAGGGAGAGAGAGTGCGAGGGAAGAGAGAAAGAGAGAGAGAGAGCCACTGTGATAGACACAGAGAGGGGAGAAGGGAGAGAGCAGTGAGGCAAACTGGGCGCACTCGCGCCACATCTGAAGTCAGGCTCCTCCCACCCATCCCTGCCCATTGCATTGGATCATTTTTATCCGCCAAATCGGGTGTCCTAGAGACGTAGACCCCCAAATGGACAACAGTGTATCTGGCCCATGGCTTGCTGTGAAATCGAATCAGGGAGCCTTTTACACGTACAGTGGGGGGTGAAAACGAGGCACATGAGCAGAAGGAGGGAGGAGGAGATGTAGGAGGACGGGGGAGGAGCAGGAGGAGCTAGTGGAGCAGAGGAACTGGTGGTACCCCCCATAACCTTTCAGAACCCCAGCTTCAAGAAAAAAAGAAGGGACAACGACAAACAACTACGGGAAGGAACGGACTGCGCGAGCTGGACCTTGCAGGCGCCGACTGCGGAGTGCTCGGGCGGCGGCTAGCATCCATGAGATCTTCTCAATCTCGATGGCAGGCCCTCGCTCGCGAGCTAACGAAAATCGGATGGTTGATTGAGTAAGTAACTTGCCGCGTTTCCGACAAGGTCTGGGCGGAATTGTGACTGCAACGGACTTCGCTCCGTGCCCGAATTTCTCTGCATACGAAACGAGCAGCGCCCCTGGACAGGTTACCCGAAGGGAAGGGCCCATAGGCAGGGCGACGAGCGAGAAAAGCTGGACAACGATCATTATGAGCATGGGCTTTGAACGCTGAACCGAACAAGCAGCAGCAATTCGGAGATCTGCGCGTGATGGGTACGGCAGGTTCGCGTCGTGTCGACCCCGGCGTTGGTTTCTGACACCGCGGGGATCGTTCAACCTTGAACGATCGGCCGTTTCCGAAACGTCGAAATCGTTCCACATCGAACGATTCTGGGTCGCCCGCGGCGTTCAAGGTTGAACGCCGCTGGCGGGGTCGCCGCCGGTCGACACGACGCGAACCTACCGTAGGCTCATATGATGGGTAGGCCGAACCACTCCGTTAGGCAGAGTGTGATGGGCAGGCTTGTGCTGAAAGACTTCTGCAACTTCCCGACCGTCACGGAGAAAATGTTGGCGCACGCCGTACGCAGAAGACTCCTGAGTTGGACCGGAATGTCCGTCAACCTGTTCGCGATGCTCGCCCGTTTCATAGCAGTACAAATCCCCTGACGGCACAGTGAGCCTGCTAGCACAAAGAGACCTGGCCCCTCCGGGAAGGAGCGCACTGGTGAATCTGATATAGAACGCGACGATCACCTGCACGAGGGAGGGCCAAGTCGATACGGAGCCACACGACCTGAAGAATACCTGTGCATCCCTGCAGAAGAACCAGAAGAGCACGCCGTGTAGCCATCGGGGGTTCCACGGCCACAGGAAAATCTAGAAGAAGCAGATTGGAGATCACAAGGCCCAGCCATCAAGAAGATGGAGAGGAGCAGAAAGCCCCATTAGCCCGAAAGGTTGAAAGAAATCACGATGAGGATCGGCTAGATCCTCGCGCGCCCCATGCGTCCTCTGAAGCAAGAGTATATGAAGATTGCGAGTGACCTGGTGAAGCCGAAAGTGTTTATCTCGAAGCCGATGCTGACCAGTGTGAACACTAGGCAAGCACGTGGCGATACTCCAGGAAACGAACATCAGAGACTGAGTGGACAAGAGTGCGAGCCAGTGGAGGCGCCGGAGGCTGAAGGGGGCGACGGGGGGCGCACATGCAGTTGAAATTGCACGCGCGCCCAGCAAGTCGCATTCTTCAGAAAGTTGTTCGAAAGAATGATTCAACGAAGTATGACGAGCGGCTAGAAACAGGGCACCACGGCGTGGTCCCGCCCTACGAGTGGGCGACGTCCTCTGCGGCAATTTTCCCGAGATCGTTGTCTATGATCCCTAGGGCGGTAGCGGAATCGATGCCCCACTGCTCGAGGTTGTCACTGCACGGGATCACGCTGAGGGCGTCGGAGTTCGGGACGGCAACGGCACTGAGTGGCTCTCAAACATTTAAAGCATCCTGCACAAGGCGAAGCCCGAGAGGACCGCTGGTGCACAACCAGCGTTCATTATTCCGGTTCTGGTGACGTTTCGCGGAGGCGAG